TCAACATCTCGCATGTAAACCCGTAAATAATAATTAGGCCACTAACATTTCCACCAAACAATGTTCAAGTGGAATTCAGTACATTTTTTTGTCTTTCATTCCTTGCTGATAAAATCCCAAGTTCATCAGTTCACTGTTTGCTAGTGCTGATGCTAGGTGACTGGTCTTCAGCTCTCTGTTATCACCCTTGCTCTTTTAAAAGTTGAAATTACTTCGGCACAGCTTTCATTCTTTGGAATTCTGATTTCCAAACTTTAATTAAAAGTAGTTTTTGTGGTTCAAAGATTTGAATCTCCACTACTAAAGGCATACCTAAGTCCCTAGGTCAGACCACGCATAGTAATGTAAAGCCCCACTGTTCAGCATTAGCACTTTTTAGGGCAGGTCATCTACAGCCACACTACATAGCATTTTGTCATGGGTCACTGCCGATTCTTAGGTTATTGTCATTTTTTGTACGTTTAATTCTAAGTATATTCAAGTAATGAGGGTGGCGGGGTTTCTGTAGCATGAAACTATAAGCATGCAAAAGCAGATGGGAGTGTTTGAAAGTCAAAAAGCATTGGGGAAGAATGGAAGGACCCAACCTGGTGCAGCCTGCTGGGAGCAGTCCCTGGAGTAACGTGTGCCCACAACAGCGTGCAAGTTCATCTCAGAGAGATCTAGTTGATTGACTCAAAAAGCAAGTCTAGGATTGAACCAGTATTTACTCAGCTGGAGACCGGCAGGTGGGAAAAGAACATTAGCTGACAATATACATGCACTTCTCATGGATACAGTTCTATTAGGTCAAGTGTTTCGGCCCAATCATCATCTAGCATTTTCTTTTTTTTTTTCATTCACAGACCTTTTGGTTAATGTAATTGCCTAAGAAACAAAAACTCCCTAATGTTAACATGGAGGCTTCAGGATCATATTTGTCTTCTTGTTCTAGTACTCTATGATCTTCTATGAAGTTATTTTCTTACTTAAGTTTATATTTCTAAAGTGTAATTATATAATTACAAATGCTGGTGATCCTGAAAGTTACCTAGAATGCCATGCTCTCTGCAGGACTGAATTCATGATTGTGCTTAAGCTTTCACAGCTGTGCTATATGTGACACTAAAGATACTCAGCATAAGAGAATGAGAAACTGTTAAGTGGCAGGCAGGACTGCATTTTATTCACAACCACTGAAAAGGAATAGGAATAAACAGTCAGTTCCTGCCACAGGTCACCAGTGGCACTCTACAGTCTTTGCTAGGTCGTGTGCTGCTTGACCTATTCATAATTAACCTCAAAAAAAGGGACAAAGCGACAAAATTTGCCAATGATAAAGTCAGTGAGAGTAGTAAGACTACTGAAAAATTGAAAAGAACTGCAGAAAGACATGTAAGACTGATTAGGAAATAAAATGGCAGATGCAATTCAGCATACATAAATAATTATACACATGAAGAAAAACAACTGTAGTTTCACATATGAAACAATAGCCTCTGAGCTTATTAGTACCATTCAAGAGATCCTATAGTTATGACAGATAATGCTATGAAAACAGCTCAGTTCAAATTAAAAAAGCAAGTCAAGTATTAGGAATTACTAAAAAAAAGGAATAAAGAACAAGAAAGTAAACAAACAGGCCAGTACTTAACTACATGGCTCATGCTGCATGCAGTTCTGGTTCCTTTCTCGGAAAATAATGTGAGACTCAGAAAAGTTTTAAAGGCCAGTAAATACAGAAGCTATTCTATGCCTTTAGTCAGCCAAAGAATATGTTAACTAACACATTTCAGTTCTGAAAAGAAGTTTAAAGGTGAGTATGTTATACATCTGCAGAATTGTGACTGGCACAAGCACAATCAGTAGAGGTTTACTGTGCAGGGAACATGAAATTAAGCTAGTAAAAATCAGGTTCGAAATAAACAAGTGGCAGCAATTCTTTATGGAACAAATGTCAATTGATAAAGGCTGCTGTTATTCAGGAAGCATATATAGTCCAAGGGAAACTAAACAAGTACTGGAAAAAGAAGCATTGGGGATTACTAAATAGACAAACCATATGATGCTCAGGAAAGGCCAAAATAGAAGACACTTGGAAGGTAGGAGAACACAGAAGGAAAGGAACCAAATGTGCTTGCATTGTTCTTATCCTTCCTCAGGCATCTGCTTTTGGCTACAAAAGAAGCTATTATGTTAGAAAAGCTTTTGGTCAGGACCTATATAGCTATTCCTATGTTTATCTTTTCAAGAGTTCCAAGAGCACGTAAGTAAAGATTTTGCTGACAAGATTTCTGTTTCTGTCATGGCATTTAGGAAGAACAAATTCCTAAAGAAAGTCTAATTATTTTCTGGTTTTCACAGAGGAAAAGCACGTGCTGCTTGCCTGGCTTCTTGCAGTTAAATGTAGTAGAAGGGGCTGTGTTGTGAACGAAGCCAAGGCTTCTCAGCCATCAGCGCTAAGTCTGAGTGCTCACGTTCACACAGTGGGGATGCTAATAAAGTGATAGACTTCTACTTTACAGCACAGAAACATTTCCAGTATGAAATTTCCTACTAGAGGGATTTTCTTTTTTTTTTTTCCTACCAAGAGGAAGAAAAAATATTCCTTGTATTTGTTCCGGATGATACCCCAAATCAAAAGCAATCAGGAGTTCTGTTATACCAATTCCTAAGCACATTTGTTCCCCCCAGTATTTTGAAAGAAACTTTGCCAAGCATGCTGAGGAAAAGTATATCAGCTTTCTAAATAACCACAGATCTGCCAATTTTAAGAAACATATCTTCCCTGCTTTCAGCCCAAATATGCTAAATACTCAACCTTGTAAGTTTTGCATTTCATTTTGTGAATGAACTATTAAGTTTAACCAATGTTACCATTTAGTTCCACATAGTAATGAAAACGATGCATTTTTGGTTTTACAACTGTCAAATTAGGCTTTTGAATGTCAAAAACATGCCCTGCTTCTATAATTCTGCATGACTAATGGTCTACCAGCAAATGCCTAAGTGCATAAAAACAGTAAGTGTACCAATGATAAAACAGTAGCTGCAACTTACTGGACAGATCAAGAATTATATATAAATTGTTCTCACATTGCATTTGCAAGCTGGTTTTAAGCATTTCAAGGATATAGAACCAAAGCTGAAATCAGGCTAATAAGCTAGAAAAACCCCTGGAAATATGTAAATGCAAAGTAACCAAGAGAGTGACATTCAAGGGAAGTAATCAGAATTCCTATATTGCCCAAAGATCTGGCAATGGAGGAAAAGAAAAAGCACCAGCAAAAACATGCACTTTAATAGGATTTTGTAATTATTTTGGGCACATTTGCTATAGTTCACACAAAAGTTTCACAAGTGAGAACTCGCAGACTTAGATGTGGCTCCTGAAAACAGGAAGAATGCTCCCCAGTCTTTTTTCATTTTTGACATGTAGCACTAATTAAGTAGAAGAGCTAATTGCTAATTTGTGTTGATCTGACTTGGTGTTTTCATGATGTTTTACTAACTTTTCAGCTTTCCTAGGATAAATTTCATTGTTGGTATCTTTTCATACCAGAGATACCTTAATGTTTTCAAAAAACATTACACCCAGTATTTAAAAGTTATAAATCTGAAGTTACAACCCCAATTTACAAAGGATTTTAAGTGTTTATGAGCAAGAAAACTGACACCACTTAGAAGTCCCCCAGCTTGGCTATCCAGAAGTTCACAGCATCCTCCTGGAATGATTTTTTGGCAATGCTAACTGGAAATAATGGTAAGTGATTCAGTGTAATATAAATATTTTTCTATTCCCTCTGCCAGCAATATGAAGTATTTAGCCTCCTTGATCACTTTTTGTAGAGCTATGACAGAGTGCATACAATGTAAACTCTTAAAGTAGAAAGAATTCTTTTTCGCTGCACAAATATAAAGTTTGGCCTAACTAAGATTCCAGGTTCATTTCCAAATGTGCTCCACCCTATTAACCTTGCAGGTTACTTTAGGTCCCATTAAGACTACACCTTGAAACCATGCTAACAAAAACCTGAAAAAACTTAAACAGCAGCAGATGAAGAATACACAAGAAACCATTTTCTTATGAAGTAGAATTCCTGGATGCAAGGATATTTACTGGAAAGTAACAAGATAAACAGTTTACTGTATATACTATAAACACTTATTTTGGCATCAGTGAAGATTCCTAGTGCTGAATGTGAAGACATTCCTATACCAAATGACTTTTTAAGACTCATTGATTGCAATCAACCAAATCCGATGCTTCTCATACATGTTTTGACTAGGAAGTAACCATATAGCCTTAATATTTTTAGGTCTAGTAGTCAGAACAAACGTAACAAATGTAGCATCTGAACTCCATAAAATATTCCATTGAATCCAGAATTTAAATTTACATGCATTTCTGCATGGATAACTGAAGTTCCTTTGGTATCCAAGTTAAAAACACTTTTTCCAGCAATTTGAATCAAAAAGACAATTCATTACATACATTATCAAAAGTGCTTTATTTCTTACTTTCAGATTGAGACTTAAGTCTCTACCCTTATTCTAATTAAAATAAAGTCAGGATGTGCTTCATTCCTATCTGGTCCATAAAGCAAACCTAAAATTGTACATGTAGTTTTTCAAAGCAAGATATAAAAACCAGGATATATTAGCATTTACAAAGGATGCATTAACAAGCTATACTCATTATAACAATATTCTTTGCTACACACTACTAAGTTCAGCAAGTGTGCAGTATTGACACAGTTTAGCAAAATACTGGATGCCAAAGAAGGGCAAATGCACTATATTCACAAATAGTTCACAAAAATACCAAGTAATGAGATTACCAGTGAACTTATCTTAAACTTTTCAAAGCTATTCTATACATCATCCTTTTCAAGATTACAGAAATACTCTGAAAACTTCACACACACACATATTTCAGTTTTTTTCTGAATACTGGCAATCTTCAAAGACTCTGTTAACTTTAACTTGGCATTCTTCTCATGCAGAAATCTTCTCCCATGTCAGCCTGTCATATTTTCAGCAGCCTAGAAACAGAAAAAAACATTACTGCAAGTCACCAAAAGTAGACACCATGTAGATGATCTTTTCTTGTAAATATTTTTATTTACCTAGAGAACTTAGCCTAAAAATAAGCTACTTATGAAAATTATAAGATGTGTAGTGTTGTTCTCTAATGAATACTACTTTTTTTTAAGTAATGCTGTCAGTTGCCATTAGCCTTTATTAACATAGCCATTACTGTTTGCTTGTGTTAAATTGTATATCCTGTATCTGAGCAGCTTGTATCCTGTACATTTTACCCTATTACTTTCAAGAAGTACTCAAATGCATGTTTTTTTTTTTTCCATTGGAGTTTACTTCTTTATATAATTTATAGTAATTATTACTCCCACTCATACAGATAAGTTATTGACACAAAACTTAGAAGAATGACACTAATCATAACTGCATAAATCATGCTGCCAATTATTTGATCAAGGTCATCAGTAAGTATTTTTATTACTGAATAACTCAACCCAGCCAACAAGGTACAGTTATTGGAGACTGACATTGGTAGATTTTAAGCCAGTCATGGGACAAACAGGCAAAGGATAGCAATGGGAATGATAAGCCAGTAAAAGCAAAGGAAGAAGTAAACCAGCCCTCCATTACATATGTACACATAGTTAAGCATATATGTATGCACACATTTAAGCATGTACACAAATATAATATGCATGAGTATAGAAAAATGTCAAGTTAAAAATGAAGTAAAATATTTGAAAATCGGTGAAAAATAGCCCCGATTAGCATCCATCTACTCAAAAAAACTGTAAGTCGAATTTTCTAAGAATCAGAATGCAGTCTTCCACAGCACAGATACGCAGGCTAGATACAGGTTTCACCTCTACCTCCCCAGAAATAAAGACATAGAAGATACAGTGGAAAAGAAATCATGGTGTTTAGGTAGACAGTAAAGAATGAAAATCCTTTAAAAGGCAAGTGAGGATTTTCTTTTCTTTTTTTTTTTTTTAAACCACAGCTGCCCTCTCTACTAGCTAAACAGGTAAAGGCTAAATTATGAAGAGCCCTGTATACCCCCCCCCGCCCCCCCCCATGAAATCCCCTCGTTTGTCTTTGGAGAGATTCAAAGTACAGGCTAACGTGGTAAAAGCAATATGTGAAGATTACATTAGCAAGCTGCATGTACCTGTTTACAAGTACGGATGCATACTATTAGGCCTGAGGCTGTAGGAATGAGGTGATATGGGTTAAAGGAGAAAGTAGCAATCTATTTATGATATGATGCAGGTAAGGGGGCAAATGGTGGCTACAAATGCCCAGAATAAAACTCTGTGGTTTTGGTTGTTGGTTTTCATCCTTCAAAAGAGTTAATCTAATTATTTCTGAAAATATTTTTTTTGTACGATTTCTTGCTTCATGTTCTATTCAGTTGTATTCATTGCCTTTTCTATGGAACAGTTCATTTCCTTGACTTAAAAAAACCGAGCCATATCTTAAAATACAATTTACAAATTGAAGTATAGCAAGTTGAATATACATCTGACTCTTAAAATTTGTAAGCTTTTTAAGCAAAAGCATTACCTTTAGAGCTTCTGTAGCCTTACGCAGTTCTTTAATAACAGATGATAATGCTTCTGGATTTATCCCCTGTTCACAAAGCCGCACACAAATAGACAATGTCTCCATATCCAAGCCAGTGTTTAGTATTCTTGAAATCTCAAACAAAACTGCAACAGAAAAAAATGAAAGCAGTTTAGTCCCTACAGACTATGAAATTTCAATATGATCGAAAATGTTATGCATTAACATTTAATTTCTACAGTACAGTCTGTGAACATGGCACTTATGAAAGGCTCTTGCAGTCTGAACCTTAGCAACAGCATTCATGTTCAGCTTTCCAGCATAAGCTAGAAGCCACAGCTTCTAACATAAACACCATGCTCTTCTGATTCAGCAGACTGAATACCAGATAATGCGTTTTGAAAAATAAAAAATAAGTGAAGAATTCAATAACTAACATGCTTGCCAACTATGTAGAAGGTAGGCTATAAGAATAATCCATGCTTTTGAACTCTGGATACTGACAGAGTCCTACTAAAATGGACTGGAAGCACATTCTTAAAGCTTTTACAGAGAATGTCAGGAGTGTTCCAGCCACCTCCTTCCATGCCTAAACACGGATTTAGGTCTAACATTAACACTGGTTTAAGGATAAGCAATACTGTTCAATTTTTACATGACACAAATCAAGAGCAGTGCCACATGTCAGTATGAAACCTTTTGTAGAAGGAGATTCCAGTCAGCTTTTGTGCAGAAACAAAGATCGATCTCTCTTCCCTCCTAAACCTTCCCTGAAAGGCCCCTTTTCTTTGATTCTCATAGACAGTTTGTTAGGTATGTAACAGAACAACTTACTGAGATTTTATTTCTGGTTGCTACAGTAATCTCCATCCTGAGGCTAAGCCCCTAGCAATACAGGTTAATGTTGAACACATGCTTATTCATACTGTTTCTGTAGTCAAACCTCCCTCAAGCGAGGAGAAAGTGAAGTAGAAGGTCTTTCTTACCATGAAAAAAGCAGCATGGCAAGTGATTACTGTCCAGCTATGAAAATACTCTGCTTCAGGATATCAAAGACATACTGCAGCACACCCTCAGAGTCACACTCACCCAGGCCTAATGCATCCAGTCAATTCCACTGAAGTCACAGGGAAATGTCAGATGCTATGAAAAAAACCTCCAAGAACGATAATACTCTTGAAGCCCACACAAGTAGTTCGGATTAAGAATACGCAGAAGTTTAAGACATGAAAGCAGTTTGTCAGACCAAAGCCCTAGCTACAAAGCACAAGGGAAGCTTCCTTCTTCACAACAAGGCTTTCTGTTCCCACTGGCTTGAAAGCAAACCATTCCAAACACATTACACATGCACACCCTGTCCACACAAAAGCATCTTCAACAGCCAGATAAAGCAACAATGCATTTGCAGTAAAATGCCATTGAACATGAAGAGCTACAGAACTAAGCCTGACAACTTTCCAGAAATAAACAATTTTTACTTTAACCATTTAAGTTTTATCATAAAATTTACTAAGCAGGTGACATATCTGAAGGCAGAGCAGTAAATCTAATTAAAGATAAGTTCCAATTTCCTATGTCAGCAAGAGTTGTGGTCACTCATTTCTCATAGTTAATACCTTTGGGTGTTGAGGTAGCACCTTTGGCAGAGAGATGTAGCAGTTTCTCCACAAAAAATCTGAGCTCTTAACAATTCGGCAGAGAACAGCTGCTAAATATGTGTATCTGACATTCTAGATTAAGCATTTTACTTCTCTAAACTACTAAAGATATAAAAGAACACTTTTTTTTTAATACCAACCCATTTGCTTCCATTAGGTGCCTATTTCTTATGCAGTAAGTTAAGACATAACAGAAATTTCATGTTCTATTTAAAAAGGTCTAAAAAACTTACCCTAAAAATATTTTTTCTACTCATTATGATGGGCCCTCATCAACCAAAATCTTATTACACAGACACAGCTATCATAGTGCTTTACATTGCCAGTTACTTCACCAAAGCACTTTGAATAAGTATTCTTATAATGGAAATTTCAAGATTAATGTTATTTTAACAGTAAAAAACCCCAAGCCAATTTATTTATTGAGTGCAGTAAAACTTCAAACATGAGGGTATTTCTAAGATTCTGTTTAAGCAAATCTTTAAAGATCAAGTTAAGTTAATGGAAATTTGTTTTCTTCTAAAAACCTGACCTCAGGAAGATATTAAATTATGAATGTCTATTCTAAATAAAATACACACATTGTTACACAGGAAGCCTGGGGTCCTGAATCTGAAGGCTAGTACACTTTCCATAGCAGTGCTTAAAAGCCTTACTTTATCTTTAAATCTGCGTATCACCCCTCCCATCTAAAACATTGCTGCAGAAGTGGAGAGGTGGTAGGTGTCAAGTACAGTTACAAGAACTTAGAATTACTGTCCTTCCCAAACAAACCTCTCTCCATCCGAACAGAAAGATCTTATCCTCTTGAAGCATCAGAGCAGCCATAATCCTGCTAGTCCTGCCTTGCCTCCAGCAGCAGGTCAGATCAGCAGCTGAAAGACTAATTTTTACACCAGTTCAACACATGAAGGTCTTCACTGAGAAATCCTTATGAAACCGTAGCCGTAACCATAACGCAAGGGCAGACTGTGAGAAAATAACAAATGCAAAGCGATACCCCCATGAACACTCTCCCTAGCCACCAGCATCTCATTAGGGCATTTCCAGAGCAAGTCTTTGTATTTAACAACCCTCAGGGGACTTCCTGGCAGCTCTCCACTCTGCCTGAAATTGACATAAGCTTTTGGCATAGCCATTCCATTGAGTTCCAGAGTTTCACACTACACATTGCTAAGAAACACCTCCTGAACAGGCCAGCTTTAATTCCTCATAGTCAGTCTGGAAGAGAAAGTGAACACTCGATCTTTACTCACCCTGCTCACATTTCTCATGGCCTATAAACCTCTGAAATATTTCCCACTACTCCCAGTGCCACTTCTCTCACATTCCTCATCCCACAACAGTGCCAGTTTTTTTGTTTCAGGAACTATTCTAATTCTGTAACACTGACTGCCCTTCTCAAACCTTTCTTTGCTGTAGGTCTCCCCCCCCCCAGTAATTTACTTTGGTTTTCTGACATGAGCAGTCCACAGGAACAAGATATTGGGGATAAGACCGGTTTGGGTGCTGCCACTTAGAGGTTGGTCCTTCCTCTCCCTTCCATCCCTCCAGTTTAAATCCAAGATGCACAGAGTTAGGTAATATAATTTGCACTAACCATTTCAAGTACTAGGAAGGAACAGCAAATACATATATTTATAAACATTAAAAAATAACGGTATTCTCAATTACATGCTTAATAGGAAATTTAAAAAAAAAAGCAAGAAAAGTCACACGAGGTCCAAAGATGCTAGCACTATTTGAAGTGTTTCAGACGTTACATGAAGTAAAAAGAAACTGCTGTGCGCTAAATCCTCAAGCAGTTGCGAACCGTAATCCTCTTCACAGGAGAGGCACTTGGGTTAATTA